GGTCTGGGGTTGAGAGGGGCACAGCTGTGCCCTGGCTGTCTCGGGCCGCTCCGGCCTAGCCCCCGCAGCACTTCTGCTGGAAGCAGGAGAGGACGGGACTGCAAACATACCACTGGGGTGAAGCAGGTGGGGGCTTTGGAGGCATGCGGGGCATTCTGCTCTCCTTCACAGCTGGTCTGTTCTCTTCTGGCTGGAAAGCTATCGTTGGCTCCCGAAATCGGGCGCACTGCCCTCGAGGGTGTGCCTGCTGGGACCACAGGGGTTTCAGCATTCCCTTGAAATGAACAGTCACATTAAAACACATATTCCAGGCGTGGAATTGTTACAGAGTTTGCATTTGGCTTCAGATTTTGTCGTGAAGCTGTGCCTGCTGGCTTTGCTGCACAGCTGGCATATGTGGAGGTTTCAAAACTGTGTTAAAGGGAAGTGTGGCTGTGCCTGAAGAGAACATATACTTAATCCTGCACCTATTACTTTGGCACCCAGTTCCAACTTTTCCAATGCTGCTCCTCATCGGGAAAAAGCTTATTTTTACCTTTTCAGAATTAGGCTATATGTTAACTCTTAATAAATAAAAATAGAAGCTTTCCAAGATAATGTTTTACCCAGACATGAACTATAATATAGCCACATTCGTATTTGCCACAAGGTCCCTTAGACTCATCCCTTGAGTATGAATTACTGAAATGCTTATCCTTCCTGCCCACAATCCTCATTGATCCGCAGGGATGGGAAGTAGTAAAAGTCACATATGCATACATCTATGTTACTGTGCCAGATTTGATTTTGCAAGCTGAACCTGATACTCTGAGGAAGGAATAAAAAAGCCCACCTATCTGTAAAATGTAGCATTAGTCTTTGAAGAACTCATATATTTTCTTTGCAGAAAGCTCTTGCTGGTTGCAAGAAGGACTCAAACAGGAACCAGGTATTGTGAAGTTTTATCATTTCTGTAATCAATGTTTTCCTGGCTAATTCTGTGACTCGCTGTTTGTATTGTACAGTATGTTTCCAAGGAACAGTAGCACTACTTTCCAAAAACATTTGCTAAAATAGTTATAACCACTAGAAATAACAGGCAGATGACATAGTTTATCCCTTTACATCTCCTAGCTCAGAATAGAAATATTGTGAGGAAGTTTTATCATTTCTGTAATCAATGTTTTCCTGGCTAATTCTGTGACTCGCTGTTTGTATTGTACAGTATGTTTCCAAGGAACAGTAGCACTACTTTCCAAAAACATTTGCTAAAATAGTTATAACCACTAGAAATAACAGGCAGATGACATAGTTTATCCCTTTACATCTCCTAGCTCAGAATAGAAATATTGTGAGGAAGTGCAAAGCTGTTACAGTCTTACATTATATAAGAAATCACAGAGGACAAGTAGAAGACAGCGTAAATGATCTATCACTTCCATACCTGTGGTTTTGCAGGCAATAACATGTCCCTCTTCTTCAAAGGATCACTTTCAAGGACAGACTCTTTTTTAACAGCTCTAGCTCTCACCAGTGCATCTGTGCTTCCCTGTAAAGTGGCATTTCTCTCTGGAGCAGGTGGGTCATTTTCCTCTTGGAATTTATTGTGCAATATATGAGCACAACTGTTTGCCTTTTGAATGGCTGAAATATTTGCAACATGTCAATGTTTGTCTGTATCAAAAATAACACAAACTTTTAACTGTAAGTCGAAAGAGGCAAGAATTGTCTTTATTTCTACATTGGATACCTCTGTTATGCTACACATACCTAATAATGAGCTTTTAAGCCCTACTATCATTTTAAAGAAAATCAAAGAAAAAATAAAAAATCCAGCCTTGTATTTCCTGACAAGTATTAAAGAAATGGTCTTCTTTACACTGTTTTGATGAACAGGAGAGTTTGGGGTCTATGTGCATATTTATATGTACATAGGTACATGAAAATACAGAGGCATATGCAAATCATGGGAAAGCGTTTTGGTAGCAATTGTCATACAAGGTCTAGGCAGTGATAGTAAAACATTCCTTTTTAGGCAGCAAGACACATAGAAACCTCTAGATGCTTATTATACTGCCTCCCTGGACTGCCAGAGATGAGTTCATCATATGGAATTCTTCTTGGCCTTACCTGGGGGCAGCAGGGAATACTTACAAAAAACATCAACATGAGGTATGAGAAAGACACCACGAAGAAAAAAACAATTAATATAGGTTATGTAATAACATAAGAAGTTATAATGACTTTCTTGAGGTTACTTCACGTGATAAATTTATCTCACAATGCCTTGAGAAAGAATAAAGCTCTTTTCCTTTGAGACATGAAGTAAAAGAACAATAAAGAAAGCCAACTCCAACAGTTGCAAACAGTTGCAGACAACATTAACAGTAATGAACTGGCAAGGACAGAACAGACACTGCTCACAGAAGTAGAGAAATTGCGCCAACCAAGAGAATTCTGAGCCAAAGCTTCAGAATATCTTTTCACTGTGGACAGTTGAACAACCACAGCCTGGAGATTTGCTAACATTTATGACCAACAGTATATAACATACTACAAAATTGAAGAGCAGATGCTAAATTAACTGATAAAAATGTATTTAGCAATTGAAAATACAAACCAGTCAAGAGACTCCTGGCACATGGAGATTTTCTCGAGTCTTGTCCATGCTGTCCCTTTAAGATGAGAGGTTTGTTTTCTCCTTTTGGAGACAGAAGCTTCTTTCTGGCTGGAAATGTCTCAGTGTTTCTTGGAGATTTGGTCTGAGATGCTGAAATACACTTCTTCACTTTTTTTGGTGTTTGCTTGTTTTCCAGCAGTGAATCCAGATCCTGCACCAAATATTTAGAATCTTAATTACTTGCTTAGTAAGTCTGTTGTAATAATGAGATGAAAATTCAAGAGATTCTAAGCAGTTGGAACTCTTTTTGGTAAGGTTTTGGGTTTTTTTCCTGAGAGTGATTATTTCTGATAGCTTGTTCATGTAGAAGCTTTTTCATATTATTAACTTAAATCTTACTGGAAAGGCTTACATTTTTGTATTTACAATTTGTATTAAAGCAAATCATCTGCTTATAAAATTTTCCCCAAAAATGGACCCAAAGGTTACACACCAAAAAAAATCCCCATGCCTATGACGACTATGGTAACACAGACACTTCTTCCAGTGCTAAGTCCAAACTTACCTCCTTTCCTGTTCCCAGGCAGTTAGCACTGTTACTGTTCACATAAGCAGTTCATAACAGCAAAAATAAAGCCACAGCTCTTACAGTTTTAGCACTATTTTAAGGAAAATAACATATGTTATGGCTCTCTTATCAGTTGTTCTTCTTTATTTATACAGCAGGCAATGTGAGTCAGAATGTTTCTGATACCAAAAATGTGTATAAGCCATCAGATATTACTAACAAAAGCCATTTGAAGAGCACAGAGTTCAAGTAAGTCTTGTAGCCACAACTTTATCTTCTGCCTGGACAATTCTGCACCCACTACCATGGTGAGGCTCAGATGCATCAGTAACACATACCAATGTATAAAATGAGTTCTTTCAGTCCTGAAAATGGCACATGAATCAGAAACTGGTGCCATTTCATGAACACAATCTCATATTTCACTACATCTTTTCTGACTTAGAAAAAACAAAACGTTTTTTCCTACCTCAACTTGCAGCAAAATATCTATGATGATGTCAGAAATGGAAGAATTCCCTTCTAGTTTGGCAGAGCAGAGAGACAGCTGTCGAATGAGACTGCCCAGTTCCTTGTAGTGGGCAGGAATCTGCTCCTGTGTTTGATCTGTGAACTGACTGGCAAACGCCCGCAAGGTTCGTATAGCTCCTCTGTATGCTGCTGCCAACCTGGATACTGCTCGAGACTGGAAAAGTCGAAAACAAATGCTTTAATAGCTATAGTTTCTGTGAATACTGATACTGTTGGGAGAATTTCATGGAGAAACACTTGGGCTTGGGATAATTCTGATGGATATCAGGCTGTTTGTAAGACAAAACAAAACAGGCATTGAAGTAGTCCAGTAAAGGTTCCTCACAAGAGGCTTCAGGCAGAACAACCTGGGTGCAATAGGTCCCGATAGTTCTACTACCTGTGCCAACACAGAACTGCAGTCTTGAGCTGGACCCTAACATGCAACAACTGCACAAACACAGAATATTCTCTATCCTCTGGGTTTTGTTACAGAAGAAGATACAAGTGATGGAAAAGCATAAGAGAACAACTGGACAACATTGGCCAGACTATAGGTATGACCTCAGTGCTGTCTTTCTGAAAGGTGCTGGGCAGCAAATCAGAGAAGTCAATTAACCAGAAGTTTAAAAAAAGTAGCCAAAAGTAGAATATTGTTATTGCAAGAAGGAATTAGAATGAAGAAGCAATTTAGCAGCCATGTGAAAGCAGCAGACCAACTGCCTTCCTCTCCAGTTTACTGCAGACAGATAAGAACTGTGGAGAAGAAGGAAGCAGCAAAGACAGTATCAGGGCAAGTGAATCATACTTCTGTGAGAAATGAGAGGAAAGGTGTAAGACACAAAGAAAATCTCCTTTCTGGAGAGGGCTCAGCTGCACCGTAGACAAACTCAATTATCTAGAAAACTGTCAGCAAGTCACAGCATGAAGGATAATTAAATCTTACCTTTTTAGTATGTTTGATTGTATGAGGACTCAGTTTCTCTAAATCATCCTGAATTTCTTTTACCTGTTTATTAAGAGAGGGAGAGGAGAGAGTCACTCAGAATTAGCTCCATTTCTGTAAACAAGCAAGCAATCTTCCCTGTAACATCTGAGTTAAAGTCCAAATTTTCCACCAGTGATGCTCACCTCTCTCTTCAGCTGTGGGAGAAATTAGTCACACAAGTCAGATCTAAACCAGAATGCTGTGGCAGTTCAGAGACAGCCTCATCCAGTTTCTCGTTTCAGTTCATTCCTGTCCAATCCATCACAATAAGCTAGCTGTGCATCCCAGTTTAAAGTGCAGGTTCCTACCTGTTGCTGGAGCACATACAGCATCCGAGCTGACCGTGCAGCTTGTTGCTGTCTCCTAGTGCAAAGTCGTTTCTCATCTTCAGGATCTAAAAGTTCTCTATCTCTCCCTATAAAGCACAGAATGTAAAGTTTTATGTCTCAGTTTAACTTGTGAAAATCCCAGCTAAGCCATGCCAACGGACATAATTTAGCCATAAGCCTCTTTCATGCAGAACCAATACATGGTGCATCACATATTTGCAGGGGTTCCTTGAGCAGCAATGCAAGTTATTGTAACTTTACATCACTCAACAGTCTTATATAATATAGCTAATTAGTTATAGCTCAAAAAGTCATATGACCCCTTATATTTATGACAAAGCTGCAGGTAAAGCCCTCAAAATTAGGAGTGGTTACACTTCTGCTAGTTACTACAAGGGAACCAATTGCTTAAGCTATTCTAGCTTTTATCTACTTTTCAAAAAAGTAGATGGTTCTCAAAAATCCAGAAATAAATATTAATTCTAATACAAGCCAAAAAACAAGGGAACAAAAAATCAACAGACTGCTGTGCATTTATAGAACATAAATATTGTTCAGTCTCACACCTTTTTTAGTCAGTTCTTCAATTTTCTGGACATAGATCCTCAGTTCCTTTTGCAGATGCTGGACTTCCTGCACATTTTTATCTTCCTTTTTGCTCAGATTTGGCTTGGGGTTTGGCCTTGTGTCACGGGTGGGCGGAGAGTCCAAGACAGCTGGTGCTGCCCTTCCCTCCTTGGCAGGGTCCCCCCGGGCAGCCTGGCCAAGCCTCTGCTGACAGGTCAGGCCACTTGGAGACTTCACTGCAATTTGATTTTCTGGACTAGCAAATACTTCAGTCTTCTGCTGCTGTGACTGTTGGGTCCACAGGGGTTCATTTGCCACACCTCCCAACACTTGCTGTTTCACGTGCTCTGTTAACAGACGCCTGCGTTTGATGTCCCTTTTGGCCAGCTGAACAGCCAACTTCAGTCTCTCTTCAGACACCACCGAGAACAAGCCAGAGCTCCTCGGGCTGAGCTCCTCCCTTCCAGCTGCATTCCTCTGGTCACTGGATGCCTTCAGTTTCTCTATTGTAATTGGATGGGGGTGAGAGAATCTGAGAGCTAAGTTCTCCGGGCCTGCAGGAGCATTTCTGTTAAACTGGAGCTGTCCAAAGTGAGAGAAAGAGCTGATGTTATACAGAATACTTCACACGGGTGATGCAGCTCTAGTCTGCAACAGTAAGGAAAATGGATCTTCTTTCCTATCAGAATGCATCCTGTCCTAGCAGTGCTGTCTGGATTTGTGCTGAGCACAAGGATTCCCTTCCTGCTGCACAGAGCTCACATGGGCCAAGGTCTTCCTAGAGCTCCTCACCCCCTGCCACTGCCCTGGTGCTGAGCAAGAAGCTGGAGGGCACATAGCTGGGACAGCTGAGCCCACACCACATGGCATCATGCTCAGCAGTTAAGAGCTGTGGAAGGAGGAGGAAGAAGCTGCTGCTTGGTCACTGTTAGATGTGGTGAAGCTGCAGAGGCAGCTGAACACCTGCCCGGGGTGGGGAATGAATCCCTTGCGCCGCTTGGCTTGTGAGGACAGCACTAGCTTTCCCTATTAAACTCTCCTCACCTCAGCCTGTCAGTGTTCATGCTTTCCCCCTTCCAATTCTCTACCCCATCCCTCTGTGGGAGTGAGCACGGGGCCGCTTGCTGGGACTAAACTGTAAAAGGTTGCATATGAGTTTGTTCATTTATCCCTGAATAAATCCATATGTAAAAGTGCAAATATATTCAGAAAACTTTAGAGAAATATTCTAACTAAAAGGATTTATTTAGTACTTAGAAAAGGGGGAGTGAAACAAAGAAGCTAAAAAAAAAAAGGACTAATCAGTGATAGACTGGAGTTTCTTACTAAGCAGCGTCGCCTGTTTGTTTGTCCTTGCTC